CCCCCCCCCCCCCCCCCCCCCCCCTCGCCCCATGAAATCGTCCTTTCATCAGCGCCAAATGTACGAAAAACACGTTCCACCTCCGTCCGTCCGCCCAGGCCAAACACTTGCGACCGAGCAAACATTCTTCGTCCAAGAGAACACTCGCTGCTGCCTTCGTGCTAGCCCTCCCTTTCAACGCGAGTTCACGGGTACCTCGAAATTGAAAGCGTCAAGAATCGCATATCAATCACGACAAGAGAAGCTTTTAAATAACTGTTTTTTGTATTCAAGAGTACCACCACTTTCGTTCGTGCCCGCCCTCTTTCTCCTCCCATCTCTTTACACCCCCCACCGGTGTTGTCTACGATGAAACGCCTTTTAAGTCACAATAACTAAATACACGGGGAGGCCATGGCAACAACATCGGTTTGACGAAAGGAACAGTCTACCCGTTTTTGTTTGCCTCATCCCTTCAATTGCGCATCCCGGTGCCGGTGAGAAATCTCACGGGAATTCCTCTGCTAGCCCCCGACCTCGCCGGCTGCATGTGTTGCACCTACCCCGGGAGAGTTTACGACATGTCTCCAATGCTGAGCGACAAGGCCTCTTGCAACCCTGGGTCCATGATTTCCTTCTCGTTCTCACCCAACGGGATCTCAATCTCGTCGGCGAATTGATTCTGCGGGTTGTTCGCGTAGAGGTAGAACACAGCAGCTTCCAGCTCATCGTCGTTGTTGTCACCACCCCTCCAGCCGTTTTTATCGTCGCAGTTGCCCTCGTGTTTCCGGTTGTCTTCCCTCCTCTCGACGTGCTCGCTCTCACCATCCGGATCATCTTCCCATTCGCAGCCGCTTTCATCCTCCTCTTCTTCACTCTCGCCTCTCTCTCCCTGGACACTGTCACCGGGCTGGTCGCCTTCCCTGTCCTGCCCGTGGGACAAAGGTTCCGCCGCTTCTCTGCCACCGCCCATTGTTGACGTGCTGGCGCTAAGGGTTGTCGGCACTGTTGCTCCTGCCGTGGCCGCCACTCCGGGTGCTTCGTCGGTGGCCCCGAAGACGCCCGGAACTGCCATGGACATGGGTGAGTACGGGGGCGTTGTCTCTGCCGTCGCCGCCGATGTCTCGGTCTGTGCTGTGTTGTTTTTGGCAAAGACCGGTGCCTCGTTGCTGGCCCCGAAGACGCCCGGAGCTGCAGCGGACATGGGTGGGTACGGGGGAGTCGTCGCTGCCGTCGCCGCCGATGTTGCTGTCTGCGCGTTGTCGTCACTGGCGCGTGTCTGCCGGTCACCCCTGCTGTAGATCAAGAATTGGGTCCTGATCTCATTGAAGTCGGCCTGAAAACGTGACGTATGATTCGAGACAGCAAGTGCAACCATCCAATGCATGAGAAAAAAAAAGATAAAAATGACATGTGAGACAACGAATGAACCGTTTACAAAGTTTGCGGGTAGTAAGTTGTCTTGTCTCCTTGTTGTCGTTGACACGGCCTTTCTGGGTATGAAAAAGCTAAACTTCGGTATTTTAAGTTTGGCTGGTCCTCCAGGTGAGGCACGACGACGAGGCAGCGAACACCAGACGTAGATTTGGGCGTACTGCTGCGAGTTTTCGTTGACGCCAATGAATGATAATACCCTTCCTCTACCAAGTCAGTCCCTAGTAGTGGTAGCAACCTTTCATCGGCGGAGTAGTTCTTCTCTCGCTTTTCTATGTGGTGACGAATGCCAAGAGTGGCCAAGGATGCTCGGACAGGCTAGGTTCAAGGGAGGGGTGAAGATGAGAGAGTGCATCTTCGTAAACGCACACATCCTGGCAGAGGTAACCACATCTGCCGGAACAATCCACCAGTCACGTCGACAAGCTTAAAGCGAAGCCCCCTTGCTTTGTTGCGTCAAGAGATGCACTGATCGTTGGTTGAGTGTGCGACGGACAAATGAATGAATCATGTTGTTTTCAATACTGCATATTTACTTGGCAGTATGTACCCTTGTTCCCCTCGCTCCTCGACAAGCTTTTGCTGAGACATGGGTTGTAGTGAAGGGGGGGGTCTTTCTGGAGAGCAGGGCTAGACTCACCCTTAAGGGATGACCGAAACCTTCTTGCTGCTGCGCATCCGCCGCGCGGCGTGCGTGTGGTGGTGGAGTTGGGTCGGCACTGATGGGGTCAGGCGGGAAAATGTAGATGCGCGGGCCTTTCTGGCCGTCGGCGTAGGCAGTGATGCCCATCTCATTTTTGTGCGCGGCGGCAGACACCATTAGAAAGGTGGACGGGCACTACACGGCCCTAGGTTTGCTAGAGGGAGCTGTATTTCCTCAGTAACCTGGCTTCGCCATCAAAGGAGGAGGGAGCAGGTGGCGACGAGCTGAACTGGGCTGGTTGACTATTCGGCACGAGAATTTTTATTTTTTTCAGACCAAGAACCTTGAGTGCAATGAGGGAGAAAGCGAGGAACGGACTGGGAAGGACAGCAACGAGAGCGTGTACGGACGGAGCAGGTCGAGTGACGTTTTGCTCGGGCTGACTACAGCGGCGCCGGATGGAGCAGTGGCACCGGAGCATGCGGGCGACATCGACCCGTGGCGCACGGACAAACATTTATATCTGATCTGTGTTGTCAATTTTTCTCGTTTTTTTCCTGATTTTCGGTGTTGGTTCTATGTGATGACGTCGTCACTGGTTTTGTAGAGAGACCCGTCAGAGATGGCGTGGCTAACCCGGGTGCCTTGGTTATGTGCCTGATCGTGGAAGACCCCTTCAATGTGGAACGATTCTTAGCTAGTGTCGATATCGTTCACTGCAGTGCCTAACACAGACGATCGGGAGATATTCGGGTGATTGTGAAATGCTGNAGTCGAACGGTGGGACGGACGTGCAGTTCAGTTTTTGGGCACGCATACGGTGCTGCAGGGATTTTTAGGTGTACCTCTTCGGGCTCTTGGATACCTTTTTCTCGTTATATGTGTGCGTGTTCTTTAGATCCTCAGATGGCTCTAGCACTTTCGTGACCACGGGCTGAGAGTCTTTGCTAGGTTTTGGCATTTAGCAACTGGCATACGGTTTAATGTGAAGACAACAACAATGTACGAAGGATGCATCAAAACCCGCCCAAAATTGGCGCACTCACGGTATTTGCGAGCGTGTCGAGTCCCCCGTGGGCCGAGTCGACGATTGTCTTTTGATCGATAGACGGCTCTTCCTTGCACTTCTCGATCACCTTCAAGTACTGCGAGGCAGCTTCGATATGCTTTCCCTGCGGGTAGATGGTACGAATATGTAAATGCGGGCAGTCAGCAGTGGGACGAACGAAGGTGCGCGCATACTGCAGGCGTGGTCCAATATGTTCTTCCGTCATCCGGATATCGGTGCAACGTACCGCAAAGCAACAACGTATCCAGTACGCGGAAGGCACCTGTTCAGCATAAAATACCTGGCACTCATACTTGAGCGCCCGCCGGAGGAAAAAAACGAAAGAGGATCAGAAGTAGTCCAGAAAATATTTGCGAAATGATACGTTTGCAGCAGGGAACCGCATCATTTTTCGTTCTTGGTACCCTACCAAAACCAAACTTGCGGTCTACCACGCTGGTGAAGGCTCGCTACACGTCGACAAGCTGCTACCTGCCGGTAGGTGCGCAGCATCTGGACACGTGTTCTGTTCCCAGTAAGCGATGATTCACAACATTGAACGCACCAGAGTGCCGCTGGAGTTCAGTAAGGCAACTAGTCTACCTATCGGAGGTACTGGCTTAACCGCGGTGCATAATGCATAGCACAAGTGACGTTCACATCGAACGGCATCGGCAGGGTGCGACGAAAATGCAAAATAACCCAATTATTCAAAACAAAAATGTACCTAGGTGCCATCACTCGCACAGCATCAACAGCATCCTTCAAAACATTGAATGTATGCCGTTTAGGTCTACTCTGTAGTTATCACAATCTAACATGTACTCTAGATACGATCAGTAGCTTTTAGCATCATGTCCATAGTCTCGGGGGTTGTGCGGTCAGGGTGATTTTGCTTGCCTGGTCGGTGTAAGCAACGGCAAGCTTGTTGCGCCAAAGGGCCAGCTTTTCATGCGCAAGGTCGTTACGGAACCAGCTTTCTCCGATGCTAACAGCTCGGCGGAGGAGCTCGGTGGCCTCGTCCAGTCGTTCCTTGTGTAAGGGTGTAACCTGGGGCTTCTCCTTTGAAGTGCCAAGCGTGGAGATGCGCAGGAAACGCGGGTTGCCTCAAGGATTAGTGTGGTCGATGACAAGAAGTTCGACTGCTTTGCTCTGGGCGCGAAATGGCCGGGTGCACCAGAATTGAGCAGGAAAACACGTGAGAAGACCTGTAGTCTACACACAAGGCCCACACCCGGCATGGTCCAAAAGCGCTCAGGGCGCAAACGTGCGCACAACGTCCAAGGATCGCAGAGGACCACGAAGTCCTCTGCAGATGAACCCGTCCTCAACACGGGGCTGTTAGTAGCGGCGGCTTGGTGGCCGAGCACGGAGGAAGGTCGTGCTCGGAGAGCGCTGTTTGCTGCTGCCTCGTGGTGCTCCTTTGCGTCCATGCGTAGTCTGGGTATTTCGATCGCGTTTTAGACTACATCTCAAAGTTTGACTGCCATGGCTAACAAAAAACAACAGACCCGGTCTACCGTCTACGGTGCAGCGTATACTTGCGAGACTACATGTAGAACTTTGCAACGAGAACCAAGTTTTGCAGTCACATGCACAGGATAGCCCTAGAAAATATTATGGGTGCCTCCGTGGACCACTCACGCTGGATTTGGCATTCAACAACGACGTCATCGGACATCTAAAGACGTCCACAGACGCGTCCACGACCGGCCCAGAATAACGTCTGCGGACATCTTGCACATGAAATTTGAGGCAGACTGCCACAACACCTCCAAAGTGCATGTGTACCGTATTTCCGCGCATGGCTCCTAGTCTGATGGCGGACCCTACACTTTGATAATGATATCTGATTCGGCACACAGCACTTCGTGCTTCGTGGTCCAAGGGCCTAGCCCAACCCGTAGAATGTGCTCCCGCACAAAATCAATTTGATTCGCCTAACATGGGCTTTACTGCATACGCTAGACCACCGAGGCGACCGGCTGTGACTCGTGCTTAGGAATGTCACCCTCAGGTTTCAGCAGTGCCTCAGTATCCGAAAATATAGACGAAGTTCACTAGGGCAATGGACAACATGAGCCTACTTTTCGGCTACCTGTTGCTGTCTCGCCCCCCCTCCCCCCCCCCCCC